GGTGGCCGAGGTGGCCCGGGCCAGGGCGGAGCTGGCCGCATGGTGCAGGTGACGCGCTCGAGCCTGAAGACGCAGCATCCTGCTGACCACGGCTCCCGCGGAGGACAAGAGTTCAAACACACACACGTACACTCAAGGCCACCTGACAACGGCCCTCTCTACAGCCTCAACGGATAACTTCAACAAACAGCCACTAGGACCAAGTAAATTGACGAATATATTAGTCACTTGAGTTGGGGGGTTTTTTAACCCAAAAGAGGCTGGCCTCAAGAGTCCCAAGAGTCGAAATGTGTCCACTTCCCTCAGTCAATCTGAAAAGAAACAAAGGTGAAATATAGTTATTGAGAGTTTGTGAAAATGAAAGGTAAGTCATGACTCTAACGTAAGCTATCAGGCTTTTCTTTCACCAACAACACAAAGCTCGTTTCGTCTCAATACGCGGTGAAGGTAAAGAGATGATAATATGGGTCCGAAGAGCAGGGCAATGAGGAAAGTGGGATACACGGATTCTTGAAAGTCTAACTATAATAAACGGTAACTCATCTGGTCGGTCTCCTTACAGCATGAAAATTTTTATTTTGAGCTTTGGAACATGTGTTGTGCACGCGAGCGGGCGTGTTTGTAGGTGTGTGCGTGTGTGTGTGTGCGTGTGCCTGTGTGTGAGTGTGTAAGTGAGTGCGAGAGAGAGAGAGAGTATGACTAGTATGAGTGTGTGCGCATATGTGCATGTGAGTGCATTTGTGAGTATGCATTAGTGATTACTGATTACGCGACAGTTTACGTTTAAACGTGTGTGTGTTTGTATACGGACAGTCAGCGTCAGGTATGTGTTAGTGAGAGCATGTGCATCTCTGTAGGCTAGTGTTCACGAACCCGGGTCCCTGCTTGTGCACCTGTCACAGAATAATATGTGAAAGCCAGTGTTTGCGTCTGTGTGTGTGTGTGTGTGTGTATGTATGTGTGTGTGTGTGTGTGTGTATGTGTGTATGTGTATGTATGTGGGTGTGTGTGGGTGTGTGTGTGTGGGGGGGGGGGGGGTGCGTGTGTGTGAGTGAGTATGTGTGTGAGTGTGTGTGTGTGAGTGTGTGTGTGTGAGTGTGTGTGTGCACACGTTATTGCAATAGTATGGGCGCAATGTATGTGTGGGTACGGGAGTGTTTGAGTTGGGTTGTTTTTTTTCTCCGTAAGAGTTTTACGGCGCTTGCAACACAATACGATCATAATATAAGTGCCGAAGATTAGAGGTGTTACAGGAGAGTAAAAAAACACAAAAAAGAAGGAGGGGAGATAAAGATGATTGATGTTTTATAGGAAAGAAGGAGCAAACCACACCAGAGCACCCGCCAATCACCCACAGTGTTTGAGTGATTGCGCGTGTATGTGTTTATATTGTGTGGATGTGTGCGATTGAATGATCTTGTTGGTATCAATCGCTTTGCGAGGGCCAGTGTGCGCACAGGAACAAGGGAGAGCGTGAGAACTGGTGTTCTGCTTGCAGCATTTTCAAGCATGTGCAATTCACCAATGTTATATGAAAGAACATGCCCTTACACACGCGATGTCCACGCACGCACACGCACACGCACCCGCACAGACGCACGCACGCACGCGCGCACACACGCACACACACACACACACACACACACACACACACACACACACACACACAATGAGAGAGAGAAACACGCTGCCGCACAAACGCATTATAATAATCGTGACTTGCTTGACCTGAGATCATGACTACCACACGTGCCACGGTGACCTCTTGACCTCTCTCCGGTGACCTCTCGACCTCACCCACACGATTCAAACAGGCATCAGCAGTGCCGACCTCTGAAGCGTTTGTTTTTATTACACCTCAGCCACACATTAAACACGCGGAGGGGGGAGGGGGTGGAGTACAGCACAAAACAAAACAGTTTCCTATGGGTGTGCAGTGAGCATCATAACAGCCACATTTGGAGTTTTAAAAATGAGGGAAAGAATGGGCCACACTGGCCACACTGCATAGAATTATAAATAAGAACACATCATAGTGCACACCAGAGGCTCGATAGCGGAGGAGTAAACCGCTTTGATCTTTGTTCTTTGACTACCGCCGCGGAGCGAACAAAAATAAATGCTGCTAAAATCGATATCTGATATTATCATATTATACTGATGGGGCAACTCCAGTAAACGGTATGAGCCTTAAGGCTCGAAGTCGGATGATTTTTTTAAATATTATTTTTTTTTAACATTCTGATAACACTGCGATACCAATACCCTAACCCTAAACGTAAGGCTTGCCCTAACCTTAATCCTGTAACCTAAAAATAAAACACTGCTGGAGTCTCTCAGACCACAATTGTGCGGGCTATAGGGTAAATCCAGGAAAAAATTGAGATAATATTGAATATAAAATTTCATGATTATTGGCTCCTCTCTGCGTTGGCAAGACCGCATGTCAATAGCTCCTCCGAAGTGCTCCCACGTCAACCAACCGATTTGAAATTCGAGGACTGGTGAGGAAGGGGTGGGTAGTACAATAAAATAATAATCAATCTTGTTTACGAAGCCATATCAGAACCGTGGCGGCTTCACGCGGTGTAAATTACGGCACCGGATTAGTTCTCATTCAGTAAACGTTTTACAACACTTGCAACACAAATAGGACATAAAAGGAATTACTCGAGACTAACATACAAATAAAAGGAGGAGGAGAGATGCGGATGATGATGAGTTTGATAGAAAAGATGAAGCAAACCACACCAGAGCACCCGCCAACCACCCATGACGACATATTTCTGCCAGGGACGAATATTATTATCATGTTCTCCGTATGTACATTATTAATCAACTACCAATGACAAAATATATAGCCTAACGTTAATTCCAACTTCAGGTGGACCCCACTTTGACCCGGCACCTCGGATACAAAAGCTAACGTCTGTTGCTGAGTTTCCTGAAATACGCAGCTTCGAGGTCGAAGAACCGCCACAGGAACTGGGGCCGTACCAGGGCCTGGAACTGATGATGAACGAACCCTCTCGGAGATTACAAAGGTGCGTTGCCGAGTTTTATCTTTAATAAGACTTTTGCGACACCTGCAATACAAATAGGTCATTAGGTGCCCAAGATTAGAGGTGTTACTAGAAAATGATATCCGAAGAAAAGAAGGAAGAGATATTAAGGACGTAGATGTTTGAGGGGAAAGAAGTGGCAAACCAGACCAAAACATCCACCAATCACTCATGTGCGTAGCCGAGGTGATTAGACACTTTTTTTTTTCTTTTAAAGTAGATGTTTGTACGCTATCATCGACGCAATTTAGAGAATTTAGGACACGGCTTCTTCCATACCTGCCGTGCCAACCTGGCCACCGGACTGAGAGGAATACATTATGTAGCCTACCACGTCCCTGCAGAAAGATGGAAATATTTGATAAAAATTCTCCCTATTCGGGTATCGCTCTTCTGCATGCAATGGCGAAACGCTTGATCGTTACACAAAGGTCCTGGTCAAATAAAAATGTCTGCAGCAACGACTGAAAAGGTCGGTCAAAGAAACAGCGCATAAATTAAGAGTGAGTGGCATCTGGTATTGTCCGAACTACGATAGTGGGCAGTTGGCGATTTTTCTTGTGTTGTTTGCTGCCTCTTTCCTATTAAATGTCCATCGTCCTGAACTCCCCTCCTCCTTTTTTATATGTGTGTGTGCTACTCTCTTGTAACACCTCTAATTTTCGGCACTCATATGACTTAATTGTGTTGCAAGCGCCGTAAAAGTCTTTCAAAAACAAAAAAACAGAAATACGCTATCAAACAAAAGAACATGGTGTGCGCACGTAGAGTGAGCTGCGCCTGTGGCCAACTTGTTTCGACAGTTACTGTTGATGATGGTGCATGTTAGGCTCTAACCATGTGTAACTGATGACAGTTTCTTTTTTTTTTTTATGATTTTAATGATGTGAGGAGACAGAATAGTTAGCCTTCACTACACGTGCATGTACTTCTATACTATTAATAGTGCAGGCTGATTCCTGATTGTTACGACTCGCAGATCAATATCAGAAATGATGTGTCTATCTATCTCCCTCTGGACTTTCAGATAAAATTTACCAAACAGGCAATGGTGGAGTTTGGGACATGTCCCTAAGACAATCTCGTCCGTTGTCTGTTGTTTGTTTGCGTAAAGAGAAGCACATCAACACAATAATGGTCAGTTTAGTAGTTTCAGTAGAGGTTTTACGGCGCTCGCAACTGCATACGGTCATATGAGCACCAGAAGATTAGAGCTGTTACTCAGAGAGTTACAAACATAAAAAAGAAGAAGGAGCGATAAGGACGATAGATGTTTGATAGGAAAGAAGAAGTAAACCACACGAGAGCACCCGTCAACCACCCACAATGGTCATTTAGTGGTGGCAAAAAGCGAGACAGAAAATAAAAAAGTAGGACCTGCCAGTTGGCGCCCTCCAACCAACCGCAATCTTGCCCCTAACAGACTGGCAGATATGAACAAGAGTGACAGAGGTAGATAGAACCGTTGTACAGTTGAAAAGTAACGAGTCACCTTGAGAACGGCAACATTATGTCAATAGCGGTCAAAGAGAATAGTTGAACTGAACGAAATCAAAAGTACCTACCAGTGGCGCCTTCCGACCATCCACGGGAAGAGAGAGAGAGAGAGAGAGAGAGAGACCTACAGAAGGATAGACGGGCACACACAGAAAACCCTACCCCGTGAAGAGGTCAGTGAAAAACACAGGCACAATTCAATCGAACATAGAACTCTATATTGAATTCCCGGACCAAACACGCACCAAGTGAGCATCGGTTAAGGGAAAACTGACAGCTAAACTAATTATGAGACGCGGCTTTTGGGCGAAGGGGGAAGGGGGAGACAACGGAAGCGAGAGGGAGGGGGAGAGATGGCGAGAGTGAGTGCATATATGTTTGTGTGCGCGCGTGTGTGTGTGTGTGTGTGTGTGTGTGTGTGTGTGTGTGTGTGTGTGTGTG